TGAAGCACATCTGCTGTGGTGGATGCATTTATCAAACATTGCTTGTTTTTGGTTCTTCAAATAGTTTATCCGTCATCGACAAAGATCACTTAGCCTAATTCTAATCTTCTGTATTTATACACACACGTTATAGAGATATCTCTTCTTTCTTGCTTTTTTTTTCATAATTTACATCATAACCTAGTTTAATTAACCCGCTTTCTTGTTAACCGATCTATTCATTTATTCACTTGTGATTGCTGACCGAGTAAATTAATGAAGAATGAAGGATGAAAACGCTATCATCATTTTATTCTTATTCTCGTCATTTAGTATTTTGGCATCTGAAACAAGTCCTTTGCCGGAAACAGATAGGGGGAAAAGAGAAGAGGGGAATAAAGAAAGGGTAAAAGATTGCAGTTGATTGCAGAATTTAAGCGATACTATATGTATACATACGGAGGTATGTGTATATCTGTCTAAATCTGATTGAAAATGTTTGCTTTTGCTCGTCAAGGCAGAAGATGCTTGGCATATTTTCCTATTTTGTACACATCTTAAAATTTTTTTGCTGTTTACCGGCGCTTCTGTCTTTCCTCCAGTATTTTTAACTCCTTTTACATAACTCCTTACGGCTCCCCTCTGCCCAGTTTCAAATGTTCTCGCAAAAAAATTCAGTGTTTGTGGTGAAAATTTTTGAAAACATTTGTTTGAAAAAAAAAACGATTTTGCTGGCTACACAGTTGTGTTTTATTAAGCTATGAGATAGAAAAACAGTCAAGTAACTGAACATAATCTAAATTTGTTTTGACTCTAAGCAGATACCAATGGAGTTTGGTTGTCCGTGACAACAACGCTGTCATTAGCGAACATTAACATCTGACTGGTTTTAATCATCTTATCACGAGGTTTCTGGAGGAGAAGTCGAAATTTAACGATTAATTAATATTAATTCTTTGAAGACGTAAAGAAATTTGACGATAGAGGAATGATGATGACAGACGAGGATTAGGAATGGGAAAGGAAAAGAAAGACAGAATGGAGAATATGAGGAAGAAGGAAGAAAAAATCCACTTTTTTTCTAACATTTATGTTGTCATATAGCTAAGATTATCTAGAAACCACATATCTCTTTTTAATTTTTTTTTTTCAAAAAATGAGGAAAATTATTTTATTCTTCTTATTGGTGTGTATTGGGAAAAGAAGAAGAAAAAATGAAAAAAAAAATTTCTTTCTTTTGTAGTTCTTAATCCTTTATGCAGAAAACAGTTGTATGAAATAACCGTCGATGAAATTAGATAACTTTTCTGATAATTTAAAACTATACTTTAGAAAGCTTTATTTTTTTCCTTGTTTTGTTTTATTTTTCCACTTTTTTTTGTGTAGAGGGGGTAAAAGGAACAAAGATATACTTTTTTTTCGTCATGAAAAAACTTTTTGTTCACCTTCAGACACACAGAGATTTTTTTCATGGCTTTGAAGTAAAGATTTGCACATATTATACAGCTTTTTTTATTTTTGCCTAGTTTTCGATTTTTCTCAGAGCTGCTTAGTGGTTTGTTTGTTCACATTCAGCTTTATGTTATGTCTCCTTGCTTTTTGGAGGCTTCGTTTTTGTTGCCTTTCTTATTGTTCAGCCAAAGTTTTTTTGGCATAATTCTCGACCGTGATGCCGTTTGCAAGTGATTTGTAGTTGACAAAAAAAAAAAA